ATTATGGCTTAATAATAATTTTAAAAACCCAAATCATTATCAGACATTGGGCAAATAAAGGACTATTAACCATCAAAGACATGTGTGATGAAGAAGGTTTGATGTCTCTTGAATCTTTGAAAAAAACAAATGTAATAAAAGGGACAGAATTAGATCATAGATATGTTCTAAATATTTACCTGAATCATGGAAACATACAATAACAAATTACAGGTATATACGTAACTATGACATGAACCTAACTTCTTATCAAAAGAATTTATTGAAATCGTTACATGGCTCAAGATTATTTTATGATATATTGTTATTTAACAATAATAACCTCATGTGTCATAAATGGGACAATGTGTTTGATGATACTGATTTTGATTGGCCAATGATTTTTAAGTCTTACAGTCAAGACATTAATGATGTAAAACTCTTAGATTTCAATTAAAATTTTAACATGGTATTTTCTATACCAAAAGAGAACTCTTAAAACTGAACCTTATCCAAAGTGTCTCATTCAGATTTTGTACAGATGATGATGATGATGATGATGATGATGAAAACTTATGTCATGTTTACTGGGAATGTAGTGAAACTAAGAAGTTTTGGAATGATTTTAAAATTTGCATTAACAACTATGTGATTCTAAAATTTAATTTGACAAAATGTTTGGTGTATTTTGGTACCTTAAGTAAGAACAGATTACTTAATCATATAATCATTTCAGCTAAAAGACATATTTATGTCAGTTCTATGAAAAACAACATTCCAAAATTTGATAAGTTTATAAAGATTTTAAAAGATATTTTTTCTGTTGAAAGCTTCATTGCCAAAAGGAAGAATGAAATGAATAAATTTGCAAATAAATGGCATCCATTATTTCCAGTATTCAAACCTGACCTGTGTATGCAGCAACCGCTTTTGTAAAATCTTGATCTGATTACCCTTTTGAAAAATTATCTTTGTTTAGTTATATATTAATTAGTTAGTTTACATATTTGTATATGCACTGATGCAACATTGGGAACATATAATAATAATAAAAGAAAGAAAGATTTTGTTAACAGAATGGATGCTGGAACCTATAGACAAACCATCACCATGATCACTATCTCATCTTGCTTGGAAAACTGCATCCCTCAAGCCCTGGCTACAACCTCAAGGCTGTCCGAGCAACATGCACTGGATATCAGATCCATTACATTCCTGAAGAATCCCCGCTCCAGTCAAAATCAGAGCATTACCTGAATTCCTGTACAATAATCAGAAGCTGGCTTTGGACCTCCAGAGCGAGTCTTTCTATTCCTTCTCTAGTGCCTAAGCTAGACAGAAGTTTACCAAACAGACTTTTATGCCTAATAAGAGTTTTTATAGGCACAATGTATTTCTCTCAATAATACTAACTATCAGCCCTCAGGGAAACTACCATATAATTTATTCCAAAAATAGTTAAGTATTTAGATTACAATATTAAATTAAAAAGTTCGAATGAATTGATGCAAAGTTGCATTGAATTGATTCTAACGCCCTCTACCAGCCTAATTTTATCTCAAGCGAACCTCATAGAGTAATGTCACTTGGAATGCTTTTGATGAATATCCTATACACAACTTGTGATTGAAACCAGTTTGGCAAACACTGACAACACCGCGTGCGACAGTTTTCCATGTACAGAGCAATCGTTTAGATTCCATATATGGCAAGTATTATCAGTTTGGAAGTTGTTCACCTCAAAGTTTCAACTATCGATTTCAGTTAATTCGTAAGGAATAATAAGTCTTTTATTGCATCAATAGGAAGCTAAAAAGGAGTGCATATCCCCCAATATATAAAATACAGACCAAAATAGTGTCGAAAATGTGTGACATTGTGCCTTTAAGGTTCATTTTCCACTAAAGTTGCACATTGAGTAAATGACCAAAATATAACCTCTGAATTGTTTCATTATTATTCAACACAATTAATCTATTAGTTTCAATGGTAATGCAGCCAAGTTTATGCACGCTAGGCGTGATATGTCCAAAGACACAACATAATAAAGTCAACCTATCCATTTTCGATGAAACCAGATACGTTACTCAATGTACACTACTGGAATGAAGTAACTGTGCATTATTTGATGTTGTGCCATTTTTTAATGCAAAAAGATAATAACATGATTTGTGATGTTTTCCTTAATCATTGTTTAATTGTTGAGAGGATATATTAGGCATCGTGACAGCCCTTGAAGAGATGTGGTGTCAAAAGTCAGTTCACAAATTCAGTATTGTGTGTATCCGCCATTATTGTTAATGACAACCATGACACATAGACAACGCTAAGCGATTGGAGAAAGTTTGGGGAATGTTGTTCCGTGTCTGAACTAACACTTGTCCCAATACAGCTAACGTCAATGGCTGAATCTGGGCTTGACATAAACATTGCTCCATTTCATCCGAAGGGGAACAGGTCAAAAGGGCAGCATGACAAAAGGGACGCAAAACGGAAAAGTCAACAGGGCCACAAACCCCTAGTCAAAAGGGCCGCATCAAAAAGTCAAAAGGGCCCCATATAAAAAAATAATAAAAATAACATCTTTTTTTAAGTGTATTATAGTAAAAAGGTTACACGTCAATACAATGTATATTTTATGCATACTAGTCCTGGTGCTCGATAAGGGACAGGTCCAGAGACTCAGCTGGCCAGGGGTGTACTGAAATGTTCTGTTGTCTCAGGAAATCAAGTGGCATTGTGGGTATTATTTTATTGTGATAATAAAAGAAATAGTTAACATTTGAATTAAATTGTTTATGGTTGCATGTTTACTGTTATTATGGACTAGTTAAAAGTCCCTTGTGACTTGAAAAGAACATACATTACCTTAATTTTGGTTACTTTTGTTTTGTTGAAAGAAGATGTTTTTCTCCCATGATCACATAGACTCATAGAAGTATTTGATGATGTAAAGATTAGAGTGAGTGAGATTAGTTTTACGCCACTCTCAGTAATATTCCCGCTATATGGCAGCGGTCTGTAAATAATTGAGTCTGGACCAGACAATCCAGTGATCAACAGCATGAGCATCGATCTACACAGTTGGGATACGATGACATGTGTAAACCAAGTCAGCAAACCTGACCACCCGATCCTGTTAGTCGCCTCTTATGACAAGCATGGGTTACTGAAGATCAAATCTAACCCGGATCTTCACAGGTGTCTATAGATTAGATGAAGCTGGTCGTATATCTTGGGCAGCGTATATATAAAGAACATTCTCTTCAAATATGGATTTGGCTACGCCTTGATAATACAAGATGCAGGAAATCCGCAAATATTTTTCATTTCACAATTCAAATAACATAACATGGACTGTGGTCAACAATGTTGGATTGAAAACATATCTCAAAAATCGAAACATACAACATTCAACTTTCAAATCAGTACAAGATACAGAACCTTACCTTCAGCAAGTAGTTAAGAAGACCTATCAAGAAACGTTAACAAGATTCCGCTGCAGCTGCCATTAGCTTATGATCAACACTGGATGTCATACAAATACAGAAGCCAAAAGATGATGCCCACAATGATTAGGTTAATATTCATCGAAAATTAATATAATTTCTTTATTTATATGTAATTCATATTCAGCATTACGGCTATATTTTATCGATAAATATTTCTACACTAATCCATCATATGGAAAATTTGTACATCTTATGTCTTCTAAATGTGAATACACTGTTACACAACTCTTGAAATATCGTTTCCATGCTTTTGAATTAAGAGGGTCAGTCAGTAATCACTGATGTTATTTCCATTACCTATTCATGTATATTTGTATTACATTTGTATTATGTATGTTCTATCATAGAAGTCAGGTTACTGTTCATGCCCTACTTGTTTTACTATGTAATTCAGAGCATGAGTGACATGATTCAGATATGTTTATAACCTATCCTTAACATATGGATGGTCTTAAGTCTTGATAATCATATTATGTGCAAGTCTTATAAATACCCAAAATTGTTATGACTTACTTCTTCTTGCTCATCAAGATTCAAGAAGATTGGATGTTCCCTTGGGGTTTATATGAACAGTACAAAAATTCAAAATTAGGTGGCTGCTCACCACCTACTGACAGATTCAAGCAAGTAGTTTGAGTCAGGATAACGTAAAATATGTATTTTTTAGAGTTAAAATCAGATTTTGAACTTACCTTGACTCGCTGACTCATATGTGACACCACCAACCCCACCGCAATAATTCTTATGATTTGGAAACTACATGATTGGAGGAGAGTGATGGTTACTGGCTCTTTAGGTTGAAGGCAGTGGTTGGATGTTTTCACTGTTCTTGGGGAACAACACTGATGTTTCCACAGTATTTCGGTTTAGGGGCGGTGGGGTAGCCTAGTGGTTAAAGTGTTGGCTCGTCACGCCGAAGACCCGGGTTTGAATCCCCACATGGGTACAATTTGTGAAGCCCATTTCTGGTGTCCCCCGCCGTGATGTTGCTGGAATATTGCTTAAAGCGGCGTAAAACCAAATTCAGTCAGTCAGTCGGGTTAAGGGAGGGAGAAGCAAATAGTAGGGAGTCTAATATTTGGCATTCTTATGAAATCACATTCAATCTCCAAGAACAATTATTTCCTTCTTTGGCTTGTATACAGAGATAATAATAAAATAATCCTCTACTTTGACATGTCATCTGTATTTACATCATGTCATCATCCATATAATGTCTGTCACACCAGTCTAGCAATATTCAAAAACAGATAAACATTGGAGTCTGAAATATTTGTCTCATGTACACGTCACTTAAACAGTGCTCCCAATAATAATAATGTTGCTGTGAATTTTACTTTGATTTGGCCTGTACTCTTTTAACCATGCCATGAAATTCTCTCAAAAGGTATTCCCTCCTCTAAAAACATCTTCTATGAAACTGACTGACAACACTGAAATTTGCCCAATTAAGAGGATTATAGTTGGTTTAATATTTCAGTTTTACAGTACTGTTTTAATGAATTTCAGGAGAGGCTGATCGCATCATGGACACAGAAGGTATTATGTTGGCATTGCCACATGGCCTACCAACACTTTCCAGTATTGAAGCAGCTCGCCTGGACCAGGACACCAAAGACAGACCATCTTAAAAACCATTCTGTGTACACAGAGTGTTAGTGTATTTTCTTGTAATATTGTAGCCTTGAATGCATTCAGTAATTAGAATGTTTTACAATGGCCTCACAAGAGATCCACCATCCAACATAGAGGAGGCTCCATCTTATTTGTTTCCAGGCATAGAACATCGGATTTGTAGATGTAGTTCACTTTGTTCATAGTCAAGAACACACTTCTGAATCCTTACAGTGTTTGTCACTTCAGGGAGTGTCACCCCTTTTGATATATAAATATATACATATCAGTGTCACATCAATCATGTCAATGAAGAATATTGTGTTTTATCAGGTATGTAATGTGGAAATGAGGTTGTAAAATGTTCTTTAATAAATAAAAATGATCAAAGCTTAAATCAGAAAAGTTTTTTAAACAGATTCGATAACTCTCATAAGCTGGTATCTTGTCACTAGCGTATGTATATATCAATTTAAAAAAAATATATCACTCTGCCTAATAATGCAATTGAATCAACTTTAGTAGCTGGGATCAACATGATAATTAAAATTTTGACCTTGTAAATAATTTACCACCCGGGTCACATGTCTTATACCTAACATAAATTCATAGAACCGAAATAATGAACCATACTTACAAGTTTATATTGTTTCTTCAATCAAGACAAAATCGCTCCTTGTAATAAGGCTTTGTGTTACATTGTCAATGATTGGTGCATTTAGGCAGATGAGTTTGCATCAGTCATGCTTACGGAAACTATAATATGTTAGGAACGACAAGTCTTTATGTATAATCAACTTCTTTATTGTGCATAATGCTTGAACACGGTATAAGTATCTATACAGACACATCACTATTGCACAATAAAGAAGTTGATGTTCCATAAAGGCTTATTACTATTACTTACAACTTCTAGAACGCCTCTCAAACAGTTCTATAATATGTTGTGTTATATCTTGGAAATCATTGGAATACACCTATTTTTATTTCCTTATTTCTTGCTACAATAATCTTCCCATGCATGTTCTAAATCTTATGAACAAGTATGTGCAACGAATAGGTGAACGGATCTCTCACAGTATGAGAAAATGATACACTGTAAAATCTGAGCTTGCCTTTCAAACAAGTGGTCCTTTCCCAGCGTGGCCTTCATTTTCACATCTGATATATTTCTCTAGATTTCATTGAGACACTTGGTAGTGGTGACCATTTGCCATTTGACTTTGAACTGATTCAGGAATTAATGTAGGGATAAGCTGATTTTGAAATATAGTTGTGATGTAATGGGTGAAACATAACCAACATTTGTGTGATGAAATTTTATAAACACTCTGCAATATATGGCAGAAAGTTCACTTTGATATTCTTGTTTTCAAAAACATTCTCAGCGATTCTCGGTTGATCGACGATGTTTCAGAATGACCATTGGTGATTTGATCAAACAACAACAAAGATACCAGTGATCACAATAAAACATGGTTTTTTTTAACAATTCAATTCTCCCAGTAAAATCTGACATTTAAATTAAGACATATATCTACACTGAATTATGCAAAAACAATGTGAATGGTGATGTAGTAATTTGTCAAAACTGGTGAGATTTATGATGTATGTAATGAGCAGATGATAGCGTAGAAAAGCGAATTTCTAACAGAATTCAAAACTGAAGTGCATTTATCTTCATGATGTATTTGGATATGGTTTTGCCATCAAAGTGAGGGTTGAAGAGGAGGGACATATATTGTACAATTTATGTAGAAATTAAGTAGCAAACTTAGAATGCCGGCACATTCACAGATAGTTATCAGTTTATCAGTTTGGCACCAATGACGTCATATTGCATGGGACTTAAGCCATGGTGTGTTTTTTTGTGGACAGTTTTGTGAGAGAACAACTATTTGTAAATGTGCAAAATATAAATCAATACAATGCAACAAATAAATTAACTTGTGATATCTGTACTGTTTTGGCTAAAAAAGTACTTGACAAACACTTTTTATGCTGAAAATGTGCAAGACAAATGTAAATTTTTGTGTAAATGCCCTTTAAGATCAACAGGGATTTACCTTGACTACTGAACCTTGTTTCTGATCCCCAGGTTTAATTGAATATAACATTTTAAAAATCCATTGAGTTGTGTTGTACTTCCTCCTAGCGGTCTTTACAAGGAAGGAGTTGTCTCCCCTGACAAGTGTGGGATACTCATAAGTTTTCCTGTGGGGCACATGATGAAAATTTCCCAGGAATAATTTTTCTGTTTTGATCATATAATGAGTAAAGGCTTTAAGTAGATCTCTTCCTCACCTTCTGCATTATAAAAATATGCTAAATGTCTCATCATGATTACCATGTTTGGAGTGCGTAGATTTGCCATGTTGCTTTGTCACCAAAAGTGATGTCTGCTCATCATTATCACCAACAGCTGTGGCAATTAAGAAAGGGCAGGATAAGAAGTGGGCGAAGAGACAACCAATGCCAATCGTGATCACAGCTGATGTATTACAGACCAGCAGAGGCTTTGGCACACTTGGGGGAGCTTGGCTTCCTCCCTGTCCATACTGTTCTAAAAATCACCTTTAATTGCCACAGCTAAGCCAAAGTTTGTATTGGACAAACCATCAGAGGTGAACCCAGCTGATCCGGGTTTCGGGTTCTTCTCTCCGGTATTTGCTGGTACCAAAGAAGGATATGGGTTCCTGGTGCATCCAGAAAAATCAGAGCTGTAACCAAAGAAAGTACAGAAGTATATAGGGGCCATTTTCAACCCTCATCAAGGTAAAGTTTATCCACCGTTAGACTGCTACCAAGATGGAACAGTAATGGAGGGGCTAAGCAGATGAAGTGTGCATTTAATGATAAAAGCATGAAACTTTGCACATTTATAGACTGATGCGTAGTGAACATTTTAGGATATGGAGGCTCTCAAAATGATTTAATTTGTGCATGCACAGTAGATAAAGGATATTTTGCCTTTTCTGGCTTCTGTTATAGGTTTGGGCCTGCCATCAGTACACTAATGGGATGACTTTTTAAAAAAATACTGGTTAAACATCTTGATAACACAGCTGAGTCAATGTTATAAACACTGGCTCTCGCACTAGTGCATGTGAGTGAGGACTGTTTGCACTTGCATCGGTTGTTACATCCCTTTGTACAGACAAGATACCAATTCCTGACAAGATTGTGATGCTTGGTGTAGTGTCATCCAGTAGGGAACATACTGTCCACTTTCCTTCTGTATTCAACCCACCTCGGTTGGAGATGGGAGTTCAGGCTGTGGAAGAATGACTCACTGCCCTTTGACATGCTGTACATGTGTTGATGGGATGGCATGAGTTATATTTTTCTTCACAAATTATCTCAAATGAAAGTGATTGAACATAAAAAGAAAAATATTCCCAAAGCATTCTTCCATGATGGTAGGGAAGGAGCAATTGCCATATAGTGCTCTTACTTCGTGTGCGTTAGAAGCTGAGGGAAATTCTAAGCCTACATCTCTGTATGCTCGAAGTATCACCTATCTCATCCAGAAGGATATAGTTGTTTTGGATACTTCTGCTGTGATATTGCGGGATGACGTCTGGTGCTCATTCTACGTAGATAGATGCATAGGACTCTGACCAGACGCAGTAATAAGTCTTCCTTATCTTCATTGCCAAGTATTGAAGATAATAGTGGGATGTGAAACTGTAGGTCTGGCTTATTTTTGGCAATAATGGAGACCAAGATGCACTGAGGTATTGGGACCTTTATCAAATCTGGTGAGGCTGAGGTCTATAGAATGGAACTCTGACATCCTGAGTGAGTTTGGAGCCTTCACAATGGTGATGACAGCTGATGGGTGCTAAGATTGAGCCTAGTCTTGAGATTCTTTGAGGTTTCGAGGTTGTATATCTGCTGGAATCCCCTTACTTCTGTCAAATTGGTCAAGACTCTTCGACTTATCATCATACAGGCTTCTGGTAGATCTGTATAGAGACCGGGGGAGACTTCGGCTCTGCTGGAATAGCCGCATCTGGTCAAGTTCTTCTTGGTATGCCCATACGTGCAGATCGAAGACGCTCGGGTTTGGATGCTTCTGCTTCATGTGAGGATAAGTGAGAAGGTTTGACCAGTCTGGAAGTTTTAGAACCGGATTGCCTACTAGCTGGAAAATTGGCTGTCCTGGTCATCAATGACTGATGGGACAGTCGAGGGGTCCAGTGGCTAATGGCTCTGATAACTGCCTAACCTCGGTGATTGATGTGAAGTAGCTTCTCTTCAGGTGACCATAGCCCTGAGGTTACATCTCTGTCGAGGTGTAGTCCCCAACCCTGTAGAGACGCATCTATATACAGATGTAGGTTGAGGCTTGGCTTGCCCAGAAGGTCTTTGCTCAGACCTTTGATTTCATCGTCCACCATTTGAGATACTGTAGTAGGTGATGTGGTAGTTGTGGTCTGAAGTCCTGCTGGACCAGCAGTGAGGCTAGACACCTCTGGATGGGTCATAGTTGCGGTCTGCCCCTCTTCGTGAGTGATTGGTCTGACGTTGGGCAGCAATCGTAGGGTTTAATTCAACTGACGTGTGAGTGTAATGGCTTGTTGAAGTGATATATTTTGCCATTGTGTAGGTAGAAGGTGCATCCAATTACCCTGTTGTTCACACGATAGGCTTGGTTACCTGTGTGAATAACCACGGGCCATGAAATTTCCAAACTGTAGAACCCACCACTGGTATTTATTGATTGTTGAACAGGAGTCGTAGATACTTCCTGGACCAGCGGTGCAGATATGCATCCCTTAAACCTATGCTTGCCAGAAAGTTGTTCTGTCTTATCATCTGCTTCAGCTGTAGAGGGTGGAGAATTCTGAACTTCTCTGTCTTCAATAAGTAATCATTGTTGAACTTCTTCATGTTAGTCTGGACTTTTCAGATAAATTGTTCGTGGGAACCAAGAAAATTTGGGAACAGAACCCTGGGTCGAGTGCCTCTTAAGGTATAACTTCTATTGCATGTTTTGATAGAAGTGACTCTATCGCATCTGTGAGCTTGGGTTGTTGGGTTTCTGTGTAATGTATCTGCGGAAAATAGAGTGAAGCGGTGGCGTCGTGATCACCAGAATGGTATATCTGTTCCTTAAGATTTTTGTGATGAATGGCGAATACTTCCATGTCTACATAGTAAGGCGAGTCATGCTGATGCTGAGCAGATCTGGCCCCGATTTCACGAAACAAACTTAAGTTTTTACTCAAAT